GGACGGATGGGGGGAGGGGAGGGACCGGGCTTGGGGGGGACAAAATGGCTTTTTTCCTTCAGACAAGAGTAGGTCCCGCCCACTACTCACCCACGTGACCTCATTCCTTTAGGGTGTTTGCAGAGAGGGGCCGAGAAGGAGGGGGAGAGGCTAAAGCGATGCCCCCCCCACCGGGTACTAAGCCCCCCAAACTAGGCCATGACCTCACCTTTCTCAAACATCCCCTGACCCTGGAGGATAAATACTCTTCTCTGTTATCCTTCGCAACTCACCGTCCCCGCCCCTCAAGAATACGTGTGCGCCCCCCACCCCCTGACCCTGCGATCCCCGCCTCTAGCTAGGGCGCCTGGAAAATGGTGAAATGAGGACTGGGCTGCAGTCCTCCAGCGTCGGCCTCAGCCAAAGGGCGCTGGGCTCGGGCGGGGGACGCGACGCCGTGGCCACGCGTCCGGGTTATTTTCATTCACTCTAAGTGACACTCCCTCAAAATCAATAACTGCATTTGTAAGAGATGGCCTGTCCTCCCCACCATCGTCCCTCTCGGCTGCCTGATCACTGGCACCAAACAGAGCACCCTGGGACCCAGCCCGGGGCGTCTCGGGGGAGCAAACTGGCGGGTGACACAGAGGGTGGAGGGGGATGTTTCGTGGCGCGGTATCGGTTGCTGTGGTAGAAGCCGCCGTCCCCGGCGTGGAGAAAAATGGAACGCAGCCCGTGCCAAGAGACGAGCCGAAGACGAGGATCAGGCCTTGGGCCTGGGACGCAATAACCCTGCCGAATGCGAGAGCTCCGAATAAACTAGAAAACTAGGCGCCAGGGCTGGAAAGTGGGCCCGCGCTTTTTTCCCTGCCTCGCGCTGGTTCCCGCATTTTTCGCCCCGGCACGTATCGCGCTCGGCGCTCTGCGCGGCTGGTGCGCCTCCCTCGCGGCGACGGCGGGAGGAGCCGGGCGAGCGCAGAGGCGGTGGGTGCGGGCCGACTCCGACCGTCGCTCCGGTCTCCAGTGGCTCCCCCCGCGGGGAGAGAACGAAGAGGGAAGCTTAAGCCGGAGGAGCGGCTAAAGCCGGCGCCGGGGAAGCTAATCGATACTACGTTCCGGCGACGACGGAGGACCTGCCTCGTTAGGACGGTCGATTCGGTTATTAGTCAAGATTTATTGGAGATGGTCATTGTGTCTGTCCCTCCAAAGACCTCGATCATCCGGCCAGAAGCACCATTAAGTGCACTGGCGGTGGCTGGCTCGAGTTAGGAAATTGGGAGACGAATCTTCGGCAAGCGTCGGAGCGCCTGCCTCCTCCTCCTTCTTCCCTCCTCGCTCGCAGCTCAGGCCCACCCAAAGCTGGGGCCCGCGGACTGCATGCATTCACTCTTTGGCCGGCGACCAGGAGATCTGTAGACACTGGCCGCCAAATGACCCCAGCATCAGCCTTCAGCCCACACTGGCCAAAAGAGGGCTAGAATGAAGAAGAAGAGGGAGAGAGATTTCTGCACAGTGGGGGTGGTCTGAAGACCTGGGGGAGAATCAGGTCACCTGTTCCCCTGTCTTTGTACATGGAGACACGGAGTTCGCCGCCCTTCATGAAAAGGGGGCTCTTGGCGTAGACAAGCCCACTGTCCCTAGGGCAAAGTGCGTCGCCTGCATCTTAGACTCTGCCAGAAAAGATCCGCGCACCCTTCTCTGTCCCGCAACTGCCCTACCCGATGGGGAGCGCAGCAGGAACTCCCTCCTGGCCTGCCACTCCTTTCGGGCTAGAGGATTCCAGGCAAGAGAAACCTGTAGGGGCTTCGCAGAGATCTCGCAGAGATCACAATCCACCGGGCATCGGAAGGCTGCCCTTAGGTGTGTGCGTGTGGTGGGGGAATATCCTCTACTAGGAAAAGGGCTGACATCCTGAGTCCCCATTGCGGCCCTTTAATCCTAGAGTGCTGCCTCAGGGGGCCACGATGCTCACTGGAGGTCTATTCACTTGTTCTTCGGTTATTAAACACTACTCAGGAGCAAACTGCAAAGCAGACGGAACATACTGAAACCCCACTACCCACTAAAACTTCGTTTTAGTAATTTCCATCCTGGGCAACAGGTCCCCACATCCCCGGTTTAGCAAGAGAAACTTTCTGGTTTAGCAGAACTTTCTGACCCAACCCTACTCACATCTGACTTCGGTTTCTGGACAAAGAAGCACCTGTCGTGTGTCAATGTCAAATACTGCGCTAGGCACAGAGGACTTAAGCTAATGGGCCTGGCTTTTCCCCACAGGGGGCTCACAGGCTGGTAGAGGGCAAACCCAAAGGGTTACACAGCCTGTCCCGTTAGCTTCCATGGCACCGTGTAGCCTCGGATTTGCCACCACCCATAGTGTGGACACTGGATAGGGAAAGGTGAGCACTGGGAAGGCCTTTCAGAAGAGGTCTCCTTTGAGCCTAATCTTGAGAAGAGACTAGATATCGAAGAAAACTGATTGAGTCCTTTGATTAACTCCTTCATAAAAGTGGAGTTCCCCACCCCGTGCCCTCAGATGCGCCTCTGACAGACGTTAGGTGCCAATGCTTCACTTGAATTCTGCATTAGCTGTAGTATTCCACGTGGTCCTGTACCTGACAACTACCCATCATAAGAGTCATTGGGTCTGTCATAGACTAGAAACTTCTAAAAGGCAAGAACCCCGGAAACTCAGGTAATTATTTCCAGCACATACCAACAGTTACTACCAGGATAAGATCCTCTGGAAGATGACAATGGTAGGAGAGGGCGGCTCCTCTAGTGATTTTATGACTCTCTTTACCTGTGTTCTTTACTCCTCCTCCCCCAATGTCCTTTGTCAGTTTCTGGATCTCTTTCTCCATCCTCCTCACTTATGTGTGTATTTCTAAGAAAAGAATTGTTTTGTTGTTTTCTTTTTTCTGATGCTTCTCATAGTAACTGCTTCTCTTTTCCTCCTCTCTATTTTCTCCGAGTCTTCCACTCACCTCGCCTATTTCCTCTGCCATGCCTCCTTTTTCTGTCTCTCTGATCACAACTGTTCTCCCTTTCTCACCTTTCTTTTCATCCCTCAGTTTGTCCCTTCTTTTGTATCTGCGCTTTCCTCCCTCCCAAATGTATTATTTATAGAATGTAACGTCGATGAAGCAGACAACGAAAAACTGTCCAACCTCCACTGCAAATTCATTTATAATCCTACAAAATGTGCAACCTGAAATGGATTTTGTACAGTGAGACAAAACCCTGTCTTTTCTGCTATCTGGTTTGAGGGCGGAAGGGTGGGGAGGAGGTGGAGGAAAGTGACAGAGGAATTATCCCACTATTGGTTGCACAACAAATTTTCAATTACAATGACCCTCTGATTTGCTATAGGAAAAGTGTTTTGTCTGCCATTTGAATATTAAAATTGGTTTTCCAGCGGGCGGAAAACGAAAGCGTCCCTGGGTGGGCTCGAACCACCAACCTTTCGGTTAACAGCCGAACGCGCTAACCGATTGCGCCACAGAGACTACGATAATAGCTACTCTGGCGGGTAGCCGAGTCAATAGGAGAAATTATACTATGGCGCAGGAGTCAGAAGAGAAACACCGAAACGGAGCCAAGAAGTCGGATCCCGGGGAGAAAGAAGTGTTCCTGATCCAGGGACGGAAGGAAGCAGGTCGCGCATGACTTTCATTGGTTCTGGTCGGGGCAGCGCCGGCTTCCTCCGCATCTTAGATAAGGGGAAGCTCGGAACGTCCCTATTTAGGGTAACCTGAGACTTGGAGATACGTAAAGTCGACCTGTTGAGAGTCCCTCAAAGCAAAACAACCTTCGGCCTCCAAACCTTCCCTTTGCAGCTGAATACCTGCTGCCGCAGAATACTCACCACGCCCTCCTCCTATCCCTCCCCCTAGCATTATTAAGTATGCACTTAATGGGCGCCTCCTAAGTGCCAGGCACCGTTCTACGCCAGTGTATATCTAGAGCCTAGCATAGTGCCTGGCACACAATCGATGTAAAGATTTCCGGAATGAATAAATGAAACAAACTAGCATGAGTAATAAGCTCGACCCGTACAGAGTGCTGATAAGCAACGGCAGCCTTTCAGCTGGGGCCGCAGCCACGTATCTCCGGCTTCAGCAGCCCACGTGCACGTAGGTCCTGTGCCCAGTCTCCCCGGTCCCGAAACCAGGTCTGCCGCGATCCCAGCATGCACTGCAACGCCAGGTTCTTCCGCATTCACAGTGACTTTTCACTTTCCTCTTTCCGCGTCTTCGTTTTTGGCCCCTCATCCAAATATCACGTGCTGGTGACTGACAGGAGTACAGCCAATAAGAAGCCAAAATGTTCCGGAAGGGTCGGCCTCTCAGCCAATAGAGAGAAAGCAGCGAGAGTGGTTGCGCAGTGAGGGCCATAGCCGGTTTGCTGGAATAGTGGCTGGAGGTCCTAACACACTGCAATCATGGTAAGATGGGGAGAGAAGAGAAAGGATACGGGGTAGTGATTGAGAAACGGGAAAGGAGTCGTGGGAGGTTTGGGAGGCGGAGAGGGCCTGGTGGTCGACTGAAAGAAGCGTCTCCGGTTTGAAGGGGAGCGCACCGCAATGAGGATCGAGGGGGTGAATGCAGCTCCTGATAGCCCCAGAGGGCTAATCTCAGAGCTGGAATTCGGGACGTCCAGGCTGGAGGACGATGTGAACAGGAGCCTCCGGATTAGGGGCTGGGCTGGGAGCTGTGGCCGTGTTTGGCCCCTCACGCTGAGCCCCTCCGCTGTGTCTGCTCCAGTCTATTATGTCCTATAATGGAGGGGCCGTTATGGCCAT